GTTGTCCAATCTGTTGCTCCTGTCCTTTTCGATAATACTTGCTAAATTTATCTATTTCTACTATACTTCCCTACGCTATTCTACCTAGAAATAGTTATTATAGCACTGCATCACGCCCTGTACGCCCTAATTATTGAGTCGGTTTTCCAAATGTGAACGCGCACACTTACATCTCCTTCCTATGCGAGTAGAAAGTGCATTTTTCCAAAAAAAGATGCGTAGTTCTGATATGAAATTTTATTGACCAGAGCAGAAGATAATCATGGAGCAATTTTCCTCTTCACACAGAAAATTGATGAACACAGTTAAAAGTGACTTAAACTTCATTCAGTAACATGCAAGTTACAACATTTTAAAATCTGCAATTCTCTCCTGAATCCTCCGAAATAATTCTTATGGAAAGTGGCGTGTCTGGTAAAAGTTCAAAAGATAGCTTTTCATGCACACCGTGGAAGGGAGAGTTCCAAATTACACGGTAAATTAAGCCAAAATTGGACCTCTTCAGTGTGCCTATGAGGAAAAGACATGTGCAGCTCTGTCCACAGTTAAAATTTTAGTTGCTCATTTGTGCAATCGCAGCCTCTGCAGAACCAGTAACACGAAGGAACGAAGAGCAGGAATATAAAAAAGCAGGATGCATGGAAGGAGATTCGTATTGAGTAGCAGTAACAGAGCTCCAACTTTCTGTTGTCTGCTGTTTATAATGAAGGTGGTGACGCCGACGGCACTTAGAAATTGGTAGATGCTATCGTAGGCAAAGGTAAGGCAGTAGCTCAATGCCAGAGGTAAAATACACATGCTTGCCGAACGCCAGTCGAGGGGAGGCGCTGAGCGCACGTCCCTAACGCTAGCCTGAGGTTCCAGGGTCATCAAGCAGAGGTCGTCAGAGCGAGTATGTAAGGACGGGTCACGAAGGGCTTTCACGAGTTTGTAGCATACAAAAGCAAGAACGGAACTGGCTAAAACGAACATGAGAGCAAACCAAACGTAGACATGGGCGTAGATGAGGGAGAGGTATGGAATATTTACTCGAGTGGGGGCGCAATCACAAGTATCCCCCTGTAGGTTTACCGTTAGAATCTGGGGTTTGGTGAGCATAATACTGCTGACGA